GGGGGGAGGGGGGGGCCTCCCCCCCCCCCCCCCCCCCCCCCCGCTTCGATTTCTGAAAAAATCACAACAATGGTCCCCTCAAGATTGAGATTAGAATTTTGACTAGCTGAATTATAGTTCTAAACTGTACCAAAGGCACCGTTCGCCCTCTAAAATACCATTTTTTTCCAACGCCAACGGGAGAGTGGGACTTTGCATCCGTGGACCCCCCTTCAAATAATACTGGATCCGCCCCTGTCAAATCGTCGCCGTTATCAGACGGTGATGAGAAAACTGGATGATACTGTACTTCACAGCCATCTTTCCCGTTTCTCGTCGACATTCTAGAAATAAAATTTTAATCGTTATATCAACGTGATGGCCAATCGATTAAATAAGTTGATGTGAAATAGTTGTTGGTCACGGGATGTATGCGTCCTACCACACCTGTTTCACAAAAAAAAAAAATAATAATAATAATAAAGAATAAAGGTTGGTATTAACATTTAGACCAATATGCTATTATTCTTTGACCCGAGATAAATTTATTGTTGTTTGCTGAAATGAAATATTGAATTGGTGTTATCACAAGGACAAAATGACTGGTGTTTATAAACCATTAATCACTTCATACAAAAAAGTAAATTATCACCAATTTGACCTGAATCGAAGAAGACCCATGTTTTGCTTTAAGGGACGCCCACTTTTGATTGTAATTTATGTATGAAAATAGACTCTTATTACAAATTAAATGGTCGGATTTTTTTATCACTGACTGTTGTATTGGTAAATGCATGTCCATATTTCTCTCCCACTGACAACAGAATGGTTCAATTCCACAGGGAGAGTGCCTCTGGCCTAGTTTCATTGCTGACACCATAAAGAAATTAGCCATATTTATCATGACAGATTTTTGGCTAATCTCTCTCTCTCTCTCTCTCTCTCTCTCTCTCTCTCTCTCTCTCTTTGAACCAACCCTCTTCACTGGAATTGCAGATTCTCTCTTTGACAGGAACGGATTTTTGGGCGTGATTAAACAACTCCATGTTGGTGAAAACATTTACAGTGTCACATTCACGTTCAAGATAGTTATCTCAACGTACTCTACGACCCTGGTGATGGAGGAACGCGCTGTACTCACTGATCTCAGTCACAGAGTACATTAAATAAATTTTACTAAAACAATTTCGATTCGTTTATCGGATTCCTTTTCTCTAAGATTATGGTTCAATATTGTTCAGTCCCAGATAAGCATAACATTGTAGGTAGACAAGAAATAATTGCATGTTTAAATTGCTGTGCTTTTAAAAGTTTGATAATAAAATTCTGGTATTTTCATTTATTCAGTCATCTGCGTCAGAAAATAGCGGTGTCCTCGACTGGAAATGCGTTCAATAAGACTGTCTTGTCTTAAGATGCTTCTGTACCCAGGTGGCCTGCTTCAGAAGATAGTTTTAGACCAACAGTTGGTGTCAACTTTAAGAACACATGATTTAGCTATCTTTGGGACCATTTCCCACAGATATTTGGATCGATCTATCTCCCTGGGGAGGCTCACTAAATTGCTATCAACTTAACCGGCTTAAATGTCTGTCACGCTTAGTAAAGATTTTAGGGGGGAATTATCTTTACCCCCTCTATGGGCGTGACAGACAATTAAGCCGGTTAGTTGACAGCAATTTAGTGAGATCCAGATCGATCGATCTAGGCACGGGAACCCAGTCCTTGGCTCACTATAGATTGATACTCCAATAATCTGGATCTGTCAGTGAACCTGACAAGCACCTAAGTTAGCCAAACTTTTGGTCTAAAAACGTACCGTTATTAGGGACTCGTTCCCAGTGAAACTATCCTTCCACGTAGATCGATCGATCCAGGGACTCTTGCTGAATGCAAGATAAGCGTGCTTATCCAATAATCTGATTATATTCAGCGAGAGTCCCCCATCTACGTAAAACGATAGTTTCATTGCCTTTAGGCTTCTAGTTCACGAAACGTACGTAAACCGCTTACGCCAAGGGTAATCAAAAGGAAAGTTCATTTAAAGCCTGTGCACGCGTTCAAACTTCGCGGAGTGTAACGGCTTGAACCAATTTAGCATTTATTCCACCATAAAAGCATTTGACATGCCTAAATGTGCTACTGTCTCAATTTAGAGCAAATCTAGGACGGTCAAATATGTAGTTCGAAAAAAGAAGCAAGTTCAGGCGCATAAAAAGCCCAGTTAGGGGATAAACGTGTAGAAAAAGAAACTAAGTTCATGGGTGACGGTTTCTTCTTAGCCCCTCACACTTACTCCGTTCGTGACTGACGGGGTTGAAAAAATGGGTGGGGCTATGCCCCCCACCCCACCCCTTATACCTATCTCCTACGCCAGTGAAGCTGCCTTCAGATACTTTAGTCGACAAAAATTCTAAACAGCCCTTTCTAGGACCGTTTTTATCTATCAGAAATACCCCAACACGGGGATTACAAGTTATCTAATCGATCATGCATAAAATATGCAGAGTATGTTCATATGATAGACAAGGTTTTCAAAATCATCGCAATGGCCCCATGCTCGACCCCAAAGTGAATATCGAAATGGTGTCAATTCAGAATCATCTATCATTTCGCTTAGTTCTTTCAACTATTTTTAAAAAACATCTAAACACGAATACCAGAACAACACGGAGAGGAAATCAAAGAACAGAGATGAGTGGAGATAATAAGACCTTGCTCTATTTGTCCCTCGGCACAATAAGAACAACGGTAA